AATCTCTTCCAATAAAAATTCTTTCTTCAAGAGGTATCATTTGTATTAAGTCTTCTAAGTCATTCCAAAATTTATCTTTAGACTCTGTATCTAAACCTACTTGAGGAGCATAACCACTTATAATATTAAAAATCTTAGTATCAATGATAATCTTAAGGGCTATAATTCTATCACCAACTCTATTAATTTTTACAACATTATCTTTTAAACTCTTATCTATAATTACACCTACACCATTTCTAGTGCGACTCTTACCAGAATACCAAAGTTTAAAACCTAAATTATCAATCTCCTTAGCCTTTTCTCCCACCCACTTAGTTTCTTGAATACATAAGATATTAATTTTCCTATGAATCATAATATCAACTAATTCCATTAATTTACCATTCAGAGTGCCTATATTCCAAGATCCTATCCTAATATTAGTTTCATTAGTTTCATGGACTAACTTCTTTACCCGCATTCGCCCGTAATGTGGGAACCCTTGCTTATTTAACACTACACCCGGGCGCCGGTGTAGCGGCCCTTGCACACTTTTCACTGTATTCAGGCTATACAGCGCGTCGCTTCCAGGGGACGCCCTAGCACTTACACAATGATCAAAAGGATTCATGTCATGATTTTTTCGACAAGTTTTACGCTGGCTGTCGACTACCTAACGCAACCCCAAAAAAAAATGTTTAAATGCATATTTGCATCCAACCAAATAAATACTGTATTTATAAAATGACAAACATTCCAATTATTCCGTATTTCTAAGATAAATATATTTTAAAAACATCCAATCCAAATAAATAATTTCAGTCCATAAGCTAATATGCAGAAAACCTACAGAGCCTCCTTCATAGAACAACAAAAATTGCTTTAATTCTCCTCCCCAAGTATTCAACCCCAAAAAATCTTCCTGCACAGTTTTACTACCTCCTCCTTGAGTTACTGCAACCTCCTCCAAGGATGTGTCACCCACACACAATCAACGATAGAGGCTGGTTGAATAGAAGAACCCTTTTAATCATGAAGCTCCTGAGTTGAGCCCCAAACAATGGTTTCAGCCTTTTCACCAAGCTTGAGCCAAGTTTTGAGTCAGCAAATCTTGAATGAGGTTTTTCATTTCACAAAAGTCCACAGGATGAGAATTATTTCGACACAAGGATCAAACCTAAGACCCTAGCAATAACTTCCAAGGCCCTTATCAATCGAATAAGTAGGCAGCTTGATACAATCTGAAATCAAAATCGGCATGTTTTTGCATATAAATTAAGGCAAATGTAAATTTCATTTCTCGACACCAAATCAAAACAATACAACATTAATAACTCACACGAATACAAAAGATAGTTGCCTACAATTCGAGAGGTTGGTGATCTCTCCTAATTCCTATAATTCGAAAGATAAAAAATCTCTCCCAAACCCCAAACATAGGATATAAAACTCAATCTCATGCATAACCTTACCCTAAATAAAATAAACCTATTTATAATCACAACAACAATAATAATAAAAAACTAAATTGTCAATACCTACATAATAAACCTAACCTTCCTTCTATGATGTAGAACATTTCCTACATCCGAGATCGGATTTGGCTCATCTCTTCCTCTAATTTCTGCCATATCTTTAAAAAAA